GTGTTTCATTCAGATTTTTTTTTTCTCCAGAATATCTTTGAGAATGACAAGTAAGTTTAAGGGAAGATATAAGCCATTAGGGCTTAGAGAAAGCTAACCTTGTGAACATCAATTTAGAGCATTCTGTTATATAAATATAAAGTAAGCTCTAAAATAAACATTTGCTCTTTTAGGTAAATTTGTCCAAGAAAATTTGATAGTTAAAAATGTGGAAAAAAAATAACTTGTATTAAAAAATAATTTGGATAATTCTGGAAGTGAATTTTAATGTGTCGTTTTGTTCATTGTGGTAAAGAGGCTTTCATGAAGATTTTTAAAAAAAAAAGTCCAGTCTGGTGAATGTCTAAACCTAAGCTGGTCTGAAAATGCCTGCCTCTTTCTTAAGTTTATGACCCTTGTTTTCATCCATTTATTGCATATTTCCATCTGGAAGGTCTAGCAGGTAATTAGATTCATGTGCATGTACAAATTTTTTAAATTATAATACACATGGAGATAAAAATTGGGGCCACTGCAAAAGTCACAAGCCTTGCTCACCTCCAACCCCTAAGCTGCTCCATGTGTCCTGCATCAGCCCCTTTGGGCATCTGGAATGGCAGTGCCACCCCAAGCCCCCACCCTGCCTGCGGAAGCAGGTGCCCAGACAGCCGAGCCCGCCACGCCCTCCCCTCCTGCTCCTTCCCCATCACATCCCTCTAGCCTGTGTCCAGTCCCTGAGCTGCGTCAGGCCCCACACCGGTCAGACATCCTGAAAAAAGTGACAATGTGGGAGCCCAGGGTAAAAACTTCAATTATACAATATGGTATTATCAACTATAGTCACCATTCATTAGATCCTCAGACCTTATTCATCTTACAACTGAAAGTTGGTATCTTTTTGCCAACTTCTCCCCATTTCCACCAGCTACTGTCAACTCTGTTTCTATAAGTTCAGCCTTTTTTTAAAAAAAAAAATTCTACATATAAGATACCAAACAGTATTTGTCTTTTAAATGTCTCTGGCTTATTTCACTTAGCATTATGACCTGAACTAATTATGGATCCCTCAGCTCCCTAGGTGATATCTCATTCTAGTCAGTGATGCTCTTTGAAAGTCTCTGACTTGTGCCTGGACAACAATGGAAATACCCATGACTGCTGCTTTGTGCAGCCCTAAATGCATCCACTTACCCTGGCCATGTTTACTTATTTAATAGACGTGTTCCTTTAATCCCTCTAAGGCTGTTCGTCCCAGGGCAGACACTGTTTACAGAGTTGTGCTTAGTCTGAGGGCACTCGCTGATGCTTTTGTTGATGGCGGAAGAATAATGGGAGCCTGAGGCCAAGTATTTTGATCAGATTAATTCACGCTATTTGGCAAGAAATAGAAGACAAGTAAAAAGTGAAGCCCAACTGGTGTTGCTCAGTGGTTGAGCATCGACCTATGAACCAGGAGGTCAAGGTTCCCTTCCCAGTTAGGGCACATGCCCGGATTTCAGCTAGATCCTCAGTAGGGGGCGTGCAGGAGGCAGCCAATCAATGACTCTCTCTCTCATCATTGATGTTTCTATCTCTCTCCCTCTCCCTTCCTCTCTGAAATCAATTAAAAAATTTAACTTTTTTAAAGTTAAAAGAGGGAACCAGCGAAAGCTTCCCCCATCTTCTCCACTGTAAAGAGCAAAGAAGCATAGACGGGAATAATACCAAGGCTGTTTAGCCTTGACCTCGCCTCTTCTTGGCTGCAGAGTCAAATAAAAACAGGCCCAAATGAGCCTCGCCCAATTTCAAAAGCTAGAGAGTTCTTTTTACTTAAGAACACGATTTTTGTTTTAGTCATATCTCACAGCTCTCTCAAAGATTTTCCCTTTCAGATCCATGCTGCACTATGACAATGAAGAATAACCTACTGGTTCTATAAAATGTGAACTCAACTGTCGGGCTCACTTCTCTGGGCATGGAGGATCTTGGTCTCATAGTCAATTTAGAGTGAAATTTTACATATTGCATTTTTGTTATTCATATTTACCGCCCTAATTCTTGTCCTTCACTCTGAGAGTGGGGACTGGGAGTATTTGTCTTGAGGCCAAGGGAGAGGAGTGAAGGGTGGGAGTTGGGAAGGGCCCAGGGCAGTGGAGAAGCATAACATTGGATGTTTGTTAAATCTCCGGGGAGTGTGCTTCCCACAAAAAAAGATGAAGGTTTTCAAGGGTGGGGGGAAAAAGGAGACATATGTAATACCTTTGTAATACTTTAAGCAATAAAAAAAAAAAGAAGGTTTAAGGAATAACTTGGCTAAAATTTGCAATCAAAGCAATTAATAAAATTGTTATACTAGATGCTTTAAATAATTTTTTAAAACTTTCTTTCTTGAGCTATTATGAAATGAATGGAAATAATCCCCGGGGAATTTCACATCAGTATCTCATTCTCTCGCTGTCACCAAATTCAACTTTACATTTATACATGATAACAATCACAGTGACATATTTAATCCTCTCTTGTGTATATTTTATATAACACTATATTCTCCTGTTCTATAAAGTTTGGGAAGACTGTGAAGCTGGAGCTGGATGCTCCAGTTACAGTGGAAGTCTGTGAGCTGGTGCTCCCTCTGGTGAACCATTTTTGAATTGCACATACTTTTTTTTTTTTTTTTTTTTTTTTTTTTTTTTTTTTTTTTTTTTTTTTTAGTGCAGGAACACTTCATTCATAGGCCAAGAAACATCTCATGAAGCCAAGACCAATCAGGAAGTAAACTCAAATATTGCTGTATGATCAAATATGCATGAATCTGATAAGATTGAACTGATTGTATTCACCAGAATTCTTCTAAAGGAACTTGTTAAAAGTAATGGCTTGATAATAGCTCGGAATGGCAGCTAAAACAGCAAGGGACTTCTCAGTAATAATTATTTTAAAACATTTGTTCTGATTGATAAAGCATGGGGAATCTGGGAGAAATTCCACCTTCACCCTGGGGACAGTGCTGCATAGTAGAGTAGGAGCCACAGAAAAAACATGCTAACTAGTGTCCGAGTGACCCGCTTTGGGTAACCAGACGCCAAACCCTTCCCTAAACCCTTCAAGCCTTCAGCAGAGAAGACAGAAAAAGAGTGACCTCTGCAATAAACCTAAGAAAATATAACAGACATAAACCTCGAGCTTGGCTATGAACCTCTCTGACATTTTTAAGGAGTAAGGAGGGTAAGGTGTGAGTCAAAGAGGATGGCATCTGCTTTGGCACAGTCAGTCAATTATCTGTGGAGCTTAGAGAACATCTTTCCATGTTTCTACAGAGTTGGGGCTTTCTGAGTACATTTTGCTAAAAAAAATAATAAGGGTCGGATTCTGAGCTAAGAGCAAGTCTTGGGAAGTTAATTTACAACTTTATAGATAGTGAGAGATCCAGAGAGAGAACTGCAGGGGGTCTCATGGTATGTGTTTGCATGGCAAGGGAAAATGAGGCCCAGGACTGTGGAGACATCTCCAGGTTATGAAAGAGACACCAGGGCTCCTGGGGCCCTCGGAGGGATATATTTACATTCCACACAATCCAAGTGGGAGCCCAGCACCCTCTCCATCCCACCTCCAGGAAGCAAAAGTAGTCTCCCTCCTTTCGGGCAGTTGCCTCTTTCTCCTGGATACAAGCAGAAGAAACCCGTTTTTCTCTGTCTCTCACCTTTGGAGCATCTGGCCACTTGTCATTCCAGGGGAAGACACTGGAGAAAAAAAAGGAGTTTGGGTTTGAGACACCCAAATGAAAATAACAGTTGAAAAGACGATTGGAAATGGATGTCAAGAAGTAGGTATTGGAAAATAGATTTGTAAATCCTAAAAGCAGTCAGTTGTCTATTTGCAGATTCCGTATCTGCAAATTCACCTACTCAATAAAATTCATTTGTAACCCCAAGTCAATACTCTTAGGGCTTTAGTGGTCATTCACAGACATGCACACGGAAGCAAAGAAGATGAACTGCCCAACGAGCATATTCCCAGCTGAGGGCAAACGAGGAAATGTCCTACCTTCTTGATTCAGCTGTTGTACTGTAAATAAATGCGCGGTCTATTTATATCATCATTTTTGCATTTTTGTGCATTTTATTGGTAAACTCGCTGTTGAAAATGGCTCCAAGCGTAATGTAGAACTGCTGTTTGCAAGTCCAAGTTCCTAAGCACAAGAAGGCTGTGATGTGCCTTGCAGAGAAAATATATGTGTTAGATGAGGTCTGTTCAGGCATGAGTTGTAGTGCTGTTGACTGTGAGTTCAGTGTTAACGGACCAAGAATATATATTAAATAAAGTGTCTTTCAACAGAAACTGGCATAAAATCTCTCTCATCCATCCCCAGTGTCTTTATAGTCAAAGAGGGGACAGTTCCACTCCCTCCCATTAAGCGGGACTGTCTGGTAACAGTAACATTGCCTGCAAGCTCTATTGCAAATAGCATTTTATTATCTGTTTGCATTATTCTTTTCCCCACTAGATGGTGAGTTTTATATTGAGGTTTTACCATAGCATCCAGGGGGCATACAAGTGCCTGGGTTAAGAGGAGAGTTTAAATAAACCTGAGATGAACGGGGAGGGTTTAGTCGTCTCTAGTTCTGATTGCAAAGAGCATTTATGATGTTCTTTATTCCCAACACCAATTTATGCTTTGGGGCGACATGCCACCCAGTCCACTAGGAAAGTAAGGAGGCAGCTTTGCTCAGATAAACATCCAAAGGACGTTCTCATTGTTTAGTTCAAAGAACTTGCAAGTCTCTGCTGCCCCCTCTGGCGGCTTACAGAATCTGCAGGGATGCCTCGGGGTACAGGAAGCTCTTGCACAGGCCTCTCTACGGAGAAACTGAGCCAATCTCCTTTAAGGAAAAAAAGGAGGCTAGGACAGGTGGGGTGGCGCCGGAAAGGAGGGGCGCGCACCGGCGCAGGAGGAAGCGGGGGCGCGCGCGGAAGCCGGACGCACTGGGACGGCCTCCCCCGTTGCCAGGCAACCGGCCCGGAAGTTGCGGGAGGCAGCTCTTCCGCAGGCGCCGGCACCTGCGAGCGGGTCCAAGATGGCGGAAGGCGGCGAGGCGGGGCCGGGGGAGCAGGACCGACCCTCGGGGCCGAGACCCCCGAGCGCGCGGGACTTGCAGGTGCAGCGAGCGGCCGAGGCGGGGCCTGGCGGCGGGCGGGGCCGCGGGCGGGGCGTGTGGGAGGCCGACCTGGGGACCGCATTGGGACTCGGGCGGCGCAGCGTCCGCGGGTGTTCGTGGGATCAAGTGTGCGTTTCCCCTGCGCCCCGCTTGCAAAGTCCGTTCAGAGCGGCGTGTCGTGGGGTCGGCTGAGCGGGTCTGCGGCGGGCGTTGCGAGGGACTGGCCCCGGAGGGAAGGCGGACTGTGGCGGAGGGGAAACCGGCGCGCGCTTAGAAAGGAGTAACAGGTGTGCGGGCTGGATCTGCGTCCTGGAGGCTGTTTCTGTCTTGAATATAGACAGAAACGGTGCTTTTGGATCAGGTGGCTTTTCCCTTTTAAGGGGTGAACCGAAGGCTTTCCCCCCAGGGGTGCCCAGCCTGGCGGTGGAAGCTGCAGCCTGTGCAGCGTTGCACCTGGGAGACGGGGAGTGGAAACTGCGCGAGGCTATAGGACGCGGGCGGGAGGCAGCTACTCAGCGGGCTGCACCGGACTCTGCCTTTATCGGATGCTTAACACGACTTGGCTCATTTTAGGCTTTTTTATTTTTATTTTTCGGCCTCCTTATGAGATCATTGATAAAACTCAACAAGTGGCCGCCTATAGCGAGCTATCTAATGAAGCATAAATGACACTGAATGCACAGCCTTGGTAGAAAAGTTCTGTTACTTTATAGTCCCACCTTCCTTCTCTACTTCTCTGAACAAAGGTTGACCACCTGCCACGGAACACACTGCTGAGCTCTGAGGATGCTGAGGTACATGCATAGGGCATCACACCCACGGTTGGTGCTGGACACCGTTGAAAGGGATACAATGGAAAAGGACATTTCTACCTTTTTTTTTTTTTTTTTACAGAAATAAGATATGAATATATTTTGGGCAACATTTAAGATGGCATATGATTGCGTGCCAAAATAAGCAGTGCATGAAATGAGGACTTAGAGAATGGTAAGGTCAGGTTAGGAGATGAAGTCAGTTCAGTAGGAGTAAAGAGCATCAAGGAATAGCAAAGCTATTGTCTATCTATTGTCTATCTTCCTTTCTACTGTAGACCACCCTCACCAAGAGGCAACATGGGATGCTGGGGGAAATGGAGATTCTGGTCAGGGCAACTGCAGTTAGCATCTTGGTCCTGCCACTTAGTAGTTGTGTGACCTTAGGAGAACTTAACCTCTCTCATGCTCAGTGTCTTTATTTATAAGCTAGGGGTGATGTTATTGATCATTGATCACCTGATTCTTGGCAAATTTACCAATAATCCAGTGGATTAACACATGATTAATGATCAGATATTCTGATAGTGCTACCATCAATTAGAAGATAGGGTTTTTGTTTTTTTATTTATGAACTAGAGGCCAGTGCACGAAAATTCGTGCACTCGGTGGAGGGGGGCGTCCCCTCAGCCCGGCCTGCGCCCTCTCACAGTCCTGGGGAATCGGGCCTAAGCTGGCAGTCAGACATCCCTCTGGCAGCCCGGGAGCCCTTGGGGGATGTCCACCTGCCAACTTAGGCCCGCTGTCCAAGAGATCGGGCCTAAGCAGGCAGACGGACATCCCCCGAGGGGTCCCAGACTGCGAGAGGGCGCAGGCCCAGCTGAGGGGAACCCCCCCCCCCTCCGGTGCACAAATTCTGTGCACTGGCCCTCTAGTGTTTAATATTAACTTAGTAATAAGAGAGCTATGAGGATTTAGAAAAAATATCATTTAGTTAAGAAAATTAGGATAGGTTTCATGAAGGATGGCTAAATGAGCCTTTGAAATACAGATAAGATTTCCATTGATGGGAAAGGAATAGCATAAAAGTAATTCATTGAGCCCAAATAATATAATCAGCTCCAGAGGAAATCCATAAAGGGATATTCTTTTGAAGAGATTTCAGGGAGGTAAAATTTCCAAAAACTTTGGGCCCAAGTTGTCAGTCACGGCATCTGTCTCTGTTTCTGTCTCTATCTATGTGTCTCTCTCACTCTCATTTTTGTTGTTGTTTTTAAGGGATAAAGTAGGAAAAGGTCATAGGTGATATATAAACAGCACTGCAGAAAGAAAAGAAATCTTGGGGAAAATGAAACACTGATATAATCATCATAAAACATTTTTAAATACTATCTCCTAGTAATGGAGCTCTTGGCTTACATTTTACATACACTTTGTATTCCATAAAACAACCCTTTAAGATATTTTTTTAATACACATTTAAAGATGAGGGAAGTGCTCAGAGAAGTTAAAAAATTTGCCCACCATCACAATAAGAGCATAAGTTAGGATTTAATTCAGTTCTTTTAAATTACAAAGCACTTTTATAATTAGGATGTCTAGCAAAATTGCTGTTAGAAAAATGAAAGCTGTTGTGTATCTGGGTAGAGTGAGGGTAAAAATTTAGGGAGTAAAAATAAAGCCATTCATTTCTGTTTTCTAATGTGTATATTTTAAAAGTTTATTAATAGACTCTTCAAAGAACTAACTTTGCCCCAATTCCCTGTTCTTTTCCTCCAGAGGAAAGAAACCCTGGAAGTAGTTTTCTTATCTCTTGTGTTTCTAGAAGGAGTACCTTATCTGTTTTTTGTGTGTTTTTGTTTTGTTTCTTGGTTTTTGGTTTTTTCTTTTCCCTCAAAGATTATGGCCATGCCAGTTATAATTGAACTAGAGGCCCGGTGCATGAATTCGGGCATGGGTGAGGTCCCTAGGCCTGGCCGGCCATCAGGGCCGATTAGGTTCCCTGTCTCCCCACCTCCTCCTTCCCTCGCCGCTTGCTTGCCGCCACCATGCAGTTCCCCACCTCCCTGCCTCCTCCTTCCCTCGCCACCCGTCGCCACCCACCCCCGGTTCCCCGTCCCAGCCCAGGGCCCAGCCCCGACTGGGTGAGCAGGACCTTCCGGCCAGGGGGAGGGACCCAGGAGGTCGGCTGCCGGCCCTGAGGAGGGAGCCAGCCCTCGGCCCCCTTAGGAAAGGAACCGTGTCCACTGCCACCCACTCCTGGTTCCCTGTCGCAGCCCGGGGGCCCAGCCACAATCAGGCAATCGGGGCCTGCCGGCCAGGGGGTGGGACCAGGAGGTTGGCCGGCAAGCCTCATCAGTGATCGGGGCCTGCGGGCTGGGGGCAGCTCCTGCATTGAGTGTCTGCCTCCTGGTGGTCAGTGCGCATCATAGCAACTGGTCATTCTGGTAGTTCCATTGTAGCGGTCACTTAGGCTTTTATATATATATACTAAGAGGCCCGGTGCACGAAATTCGTGCACTGTGGTGGGGGGGTCCCCTCAGCCTGGCCTGCGCCCTCTTGCAGTCCAGGACCACTCGGGGGATGTCTGCCTGCTGGCTTAGGCCCACTCCCCAGGGAGTGGACATTCCTCTCGCAGTCTGGGACCCCTCGCTCCTTACTGCCTGCCTGCTCGCTGCTCCTTACCGCTCAGCTCGCTGCTCCTTAGTGCTGCCACTGATTCAGGAGAGGCTCTCGCCACCTCCACTGCGCTCACCAGCTGTGAGCCTGGCTTCTGGCTGAGCGGCGTTCCCCCTGTGGGAGCACACTGACCACCAGGGGGCAGCTCCTGCATTGAGCGTCTGCCCCCTGGTGGTCAGTGCGCATCACAGTGACCAGTCATTCTGGTCGTTCTGCCATAATGGTCGCTTAAGCTTTTATTATATAGATAGATAACCACAAGGGCATTAAGGAAAGTTTTTCGAGTTGTTGTCCAAAAATATCAAAAGTGGGAACAAAATAACTTAATACTGAAATATTTGGTTAACTTTTAAAAATTCCAATTTCAAGAACTATGTTTATTTCATTTTGCAGATAGCCAGCCATATATCTATAATGCATAATTTGGTAGTATTGCTTTCTAAAAGTTATACAAACCATGTACGTAATTCATTGTCTGTCATTTTCCAGTGGCTTACTTTCCTAAACTTTATGACACTTATATGTCTGGTAGGCTTTTAAAAAGGATACTTTTGAAATTATTCTATGTGTTTGGATTTTGAAAACTTGAACAGCTAAAGGAAATAATTTTTGACATCTGATGAGAGCAGGTTGTGAAACATCTTCTTTAAAAGGATTGTAGAATTTAGGTTCAGCTTTGAAAATGATGTTACCAAATACTGTTTTTTAAACTGTTGAATAGTTATTTGAAAATAATTAAATAATAATTGTAACTTTAATTTATTCTAATATCTGCAACATTTTGGTTAGTTTTATAAAAGAAGAGCATGCATTGGTTTTATTTTGGAAGAGAGTAAGCAGCGGCCTTCATTGGAGCCCTTTACTATGCACTTACAAGTTAATGTTCTACTCATAATTTCTAGTTGTGTAGGAGAGTTTATTTCTAGTGTTACACTGTATAACAAGTCTGTTATTTTATAGTTGGCCTTGGCAGAATTGTACAAAGATGAAGTGAAATGCAAATCTTCCAAAACTGATAGACCTAAAGCTTCAGTCTTTAAAAGCCCACGAACACCACCTCAAAGGTAAGTTTTTCTCTTATTTTTAAAAATCTTATCCCTTTTTAGTTCACTAATCCCAAATTATTTAAATGGCCTTGAAATCTTTTAAAAATAAACATTATCTAGGTTTTCCAGTGAGGTCTTTCTCACCAATACCCCTTTCTTTCTTTATCATTTTCTCTCCCTTTCTCTTCATCTTCCTTTCTCATTGCTACCTCTCTGTTGTACAGCTCCTAATACTAACGCTTGTCTTACGAGCCAGCTATCTATGGTGCCAGATGGGTACTGGAAATATTGAGGGATTACTTTGTAAAGTATATGATTATCTAACCACTATGCTATACACCTGAAACTAATTCAAAATAATATTGAATATAAACTGTAATTTCAAAATAAAATTTAAAAGAGAAAAGAAAAAAGAGCCACGTATGGTAGCACGTGGACCCTCAGTATAAGCTTGGCAGGAAAGCTTCCAGTGGCTCGGGTAACCTGGGCCTCAGTGTATTGCCCGGAGCTCTAGCAGGATGGGGGCAACCCCACCTCCACTTCCCCCCTGCCCTCAGCAGTGTGAGCCAGCCTTCTGTTAGCTTCCGTTAGTGGGTTCTGCTTGCTAGTATCCACTGGTTCTCCAGGGGGACTTTTTCTTCACTTACAGTGAATTGAGAGCTGGTCTGCCCTTCCTTCTCTGTTCAGTTTTGCACATACTAATTTTGGAGAAAGTGTTGAAGGTGACCTTCATTCTTCGTCTCTAGTGCTGATATAATTTGCCCACTTTTTGTTTTGTGGGTCAGTTCAGTGCAGATTTGAAACTGATTTGGAGGGAATGGGTAGTTAAAAACATGAGCTCTGATTGTCAGCTTATACTTGAAGTCTCCATGTTGATATTTCATAGGTTATATTAGCTGTTATTCTTGATTGAAAAAAATCTTAAAAGATAAAATAGGATACTAATGTAGAGGCAGTTTTATGTTCTGGAAGACTGTTATGAAGTTGGAGTGAGTAGAAATCAGTTTCTACATAGTTAATACACTAAAAAACTTGTTTGTGTTCTAAATTATTTACCTTTAACACAGGGTTATAATTTTTTAGTCCTGAGAACTCTTAGGAGTAAACCCTCTATGTGTAGCTCTGCAGTCTAGATTTAGGTATTCACTCTCTAAAGGTCTCTTCACTAACGAAGTCCCTAGTGATTGTAGATTCCTCAGGAAAAAGACTTAGCTTTTGGTTGCCAACACTTCTCCCCACCACACTCCAAAAGTGCATTTATAAGTGATTGCAAAGGATGAGAGAGGAAGAACCAAGCCGGTTCTCATGCATGCTGAGCTTGCTACAGGAATCTCTGCAAACTCCGCGAGAAATGATATGAACTGTTCACTATTTATTCCTTAATCCTATTTTTAAAATTAAATATTTTCACAGAAGGCATATAAATTATTCTTTTTACATTAAAGTTATTTTCTAAGACTGTAGCTTTTTACTTTAAAGTAGTTTATGTCTGTATTCTAAGTTTTTATTCACGAAGTGTAATGTTTAAAGGTTCTATTCAAGTGAGCATGAATACAGTGGATTGCATCTAGTTCGACCTTCACCTGGGAAAATAGTGAATGAACTTTTCAAAGAGGCAAAGGAACATGGGGCTGTCCCTCTACATGAAGCCACAAGAGCTTCAGGTGATGACAAAACTAAGGTAAATGCTCAATTTCAAAACTAAGGATGCTACTTATAGATTTGATCTCCTCTATAGGTTTTTTAAAAATTGATTTCAGAGAGAGAGGAAGGAAGAGAGGGAGTGAGGGAGGAGAGAGAGAGAAAGAGAGATTTGTTGTTCCACTTAGTTATGCATTCATTGGTTGATCTTGTATATGCCCTGACTGTGGTTTGAACCCGCAATCTTAGCATCTCAGGAAGACACTCCAACCAACTGAGCTACCCTCCCAGGGCTATAGTTTTTTATATTATTATATAACACTATTTTTCTTACTGTATATTTGTCCTTTAAATATTTGATTCATTTTTATAAGGTTATAATCTTTCTATTGATTGACAGTTGAGGCAGTTTCTTACATTTCTATGCAACTTCTCTATTTACCTTTTTATTTTGAAATAGTTACGCTCACAGGAATTTGCAAAGGGTATACAGAAAGGTGTTGTATACCTTTCACCCAGTTTTCCCCAATACCCTAATGGCTAATGATGTTATTTGCATTTTCCTAATGGCCTATAATGTTGAACATCTTCTCGGGTGCTTATTTGCCACTCTCTTTATTTTTCCTCTTTAGTAAAATGTCTCTTCTACTTTGGCCCATTTTCAAATTGGATTATTTGTTACAAACAAAATTGTTTGATAGTTCTTTATTTTTGGTGTGTATATTTCCTCCTAGACTGTAGCTTGTCTTTTCATTCTCATACCAGGCTTTTTTATAAAGCAAAGTTTTAAATTTTGATGAAGTCCAATTTATCTTTTTTTTTTTATGGATTATACTTCTAGTATCTTGTCTAAGAACTCTTCACCTAACCTTAGTTCCCAAAGATTTTCTCTGTGTTATGTAGAAAAGTTTTATAGTTTTCCGTTTAAACCTGTGACCTATTTTGAGTTGATTTTGATTAAGTTTAAGTCGAGATTCTTATTTCTCCTTGTGCAGAGGACGAATTGCTCCACCATGTTGAAAGGCTCTTTTTCTTTCATTGGATTATTTTTGTACCTTCTTCAGTTTCTGCAAAACTTTCTAGATGCAGTATTGGTATACTAAAGTGTATTTTTGTGTATAATTGCCATATCTATAATAATAAAAGCATAATATGCTAATTAGACTGGACATCCTTCTGGACAACCTTCTGGACATAGTCAGGGCTGCGAGGGAAGCCTGGGTCCCGGGTGCTGGAGGGAAGCTGGTGCCAGCAGCTGGGGGAAGGAAGGCCTACTCTTGCACAAATTTTGTGCATCCGGCCTCTAGTGTTCTCATAGTTAACATTTCCAAACCTGATTTCTCTTGTCAAATCATTTGGGGAGGTTTCCTAAACTACCACATGGTCAACTGGCCAGGGCAAGAAACATAACTTCTTACTTGAATACACCTCTCTGTGTTGTAACATAAGACTTTAATGTTAATATGCTGTTTTCCTGGAAAATATAAACCAGTTTGACTAATTATAGTTAATTTAGTTTTAAAATATATATCACACACTAGAGGCCCAGTGCATGAGATTCATTCACTTGGTGGGGCCCCTCAGCCCGGCCTGCGCCCTCTCACAGTCCGGGACCCCTCGGGGGGATGTCCGCCTGCCGACTTAGGCCCGATCCCCCCTGCTAAGCCGGCAGTCAGACATCCCTCTCGCCATCCGGGACCCCTCACTCCTTATCGCCCACCTGCAGAGAAGGCGGGAGAGGCTCCCGCCACTGCCGCTGCACTTATCAGTCAGAAGCTGGGCTTGCTGCTCCTTAGCACTGCCTTGGAGGTGGAAGAGGCTCCCGCCACCACCACTGTGCTCACCAGCGGTGAGCCTGGCTTCTGGCTGAGCAGCGCTCCCCCTGTGGGAGCACACTGACCACCAGGGGCAGCTCCTGCATTGAGCATCTGCCCCCTGGTGGTCAGTGCGTTATAGTGACCGGTAGTTCTGTCGTTCGGTTGATTTGCATATTAGGCCTTTATTATATAGGATTATTGCAACATACTGCTTAATAAGCCTTACAGAATTTTTAACTCACTTGCTTTGTATTTTAGTCCTTTACAGGTGGAGGATACAGATTGGGTAATTCCATTTGTAAACAGTCTGAATACATCTATGGAGAAAATCAGATGCAAGATGTAGGTACAGTAATCAAAGTGAAAATTATAGATATTTGCCTCTAGTTACTACTGTTTATTTTAAAATTAAAAGTTGGTAATATAAATATCTTTTTGTTTTCTTAATTTGTAAAACAGATTAAAAGGCCTAATTTGTAAGTTTTCAGTCTCAAATTTTCTTTTGTATCCCTAATGTGCCTTGCACTTAGAGATACATAACTATTTGTTGAAAGAATTGTATGATTCACTGTAAAATAAGCTTATATATGTATGATGATTATTATAAATGGTGTACTGTTACGACATAGAATGAGCTGAGTTGTAAACATAGCAACACCTAAGTCATTATTTCATTTACCTTTTGAAATTTCGGAGTTATAACTTTATTTTAAACATGTAGTTTAGCCTTGGCGGGTCCCTAGAAATTCTGTCTTGCACCTTGGAATGAATATTTAAGTTCTGAATTAGAAAATATAGACACAGAAGGAGAAGGTGGGTGCAGAGTGCAGCTGAATGATCTCACTGCTTTTGTTTTCTCAATGAACTAGAAATAATTGTGCCTTGAAGCCAGGGCCCAGGTGTGGGACCTGTGGGACCTTTGGTATTTCAGCCATGGTCCATTTGTTAAGCTAAACACAAATCTGCTTAGCAGACACACATGATTTCACGTATGTCTTTATTTTAACTGTGAATAAGGAGAGTACAAATAACTCCATATTTTAAATTAAGTTGTTTAAAATTACATTTAAAACTTAAGATTGTTTGATGCAAATAGATTTTTGTATTTTCTTTATCTTTATTTTTTTTCTGTGCTCAAAAGGTTCAGATTTTGCTTAAGTTGTGGAGCAATGGTTTCAGTTTAGATGATGGAGAATTGAGACCGTACAATGATCCAGTGAATGCTCAATTTCTGGAGTCTGTTAAAAGAGGGTAAGCTGTATTATTGTGTTCTATTTGTTATTCAGGGTGGGAGTTTTTTTGTTTTGTTTTGTTTTTTTGTTTTGTTTTGTTTTTTTGTTTTTGTTTTTGTTTTTTAAGCAGAATGCCATTCAGTAGGACTCTACTGGTATCTAAGAATTGGATTATGTAAGTGACTCCTGGGGGAAGGGTATTTCTAAGTATATAAAGGACATATTATTGTCTATAAGTTACTGTTTTCACCTGTGGGGAGTGGGAAGGCAGTAAGACATTCGTCCCTTTAAAAATCTGATGAAGCTATGGTCCCAACTCTAAGAAGAACCACCTCAGTATAATCAATTAATTGATTAGCATGTAGTTGCCATCCACTAAGCCACTGTCCTGCTTACTGTTGACAGGGTGACTCATTGCATGTATGCCTGAAATTCAGCAGCTTATATTAGAAATCTTTTAAAGTGGCATTACTGCTGGCAGAAGATTTCAAAAGGTTAGTTTGAAGTTATAATTTATGAAAGTAAACCAATATACAGTACTCTGACCCGCCTTTAGAACATCATAACTCACTAGCCCTTCTTACTGAAGAATAAGATATTTTACTGAGATATTGGTGATGAACTGGGAGATTTAAGTAGCAGTAAAGGGACTGGAGTAGGTTATATTCCACCCAGGAACTGAAGACAGGGCTTTTCCAAGTGATGAAATATATCCAAGTGGAGTGGAGATGAAACTCATTGGAGTTGAGATAGTGAAAGAACACTCTGGAGAAAGGGTATTTTAGAACATTAATTAGCATGAATTTTGAATTTGAATTCATCAAAGATAATGTCAGGATATCAAAAAAAGGCAAGACATGCTGTAAGCTGTAGGCAGTATGCTGAAGTCATTGAGAAAGGTGGGAGGCTGACCTGGGAGGCAGTATATGATAGTTTAAGTCAGTGCTACGGACTGGGAACCCTGCAGAGTCACTGGGAAGAGATGGGAGTGATACGTAGGGAAAGGGTTCATCTGCTAAGTGAAGATCAGCAGAACAGTTGAAATTGATGCTTATTTCAAGATGGTAGAAGAAAAGAACTTATTGATGACGAATGAATTATAGATGAAAACTAATTTGTTAAGTGAAAATAATCTCTAAACTTTGTAGGCTACTGTTCACACAGTATGATATACTAATTTTTTAAAAAATTTGAATCACACCATATTCTCAAACAAATTATGATCAAGAATAGTTCTAGAAAAGACTCCTTGAAAGCAGTGATTGATATCAGACAGTGATTGTCAGCTATGTAATTGTTGTTCCCTTTTTATAACAAATATTTTGTAATACATCTTCAGTATCTCCAAAGAAAAATTCATAAATCTATGTATATTATTTCCAAAAAATTAAAGTAAATTTTATCTTACAAATATTGAGGGACTAAAAGAAAGTAATTTACCATAAAATTATACATATTTCAGTTTCTAAATGCCCGAGTATGACCACACCAGAAGATATAACAAAGCAGCCAGATAATTTGCACTTATGAGCAGACTAGCACTTCTCACATAAATGTGACAGGCATAAAAACAGAATAGGGAGGTATAGGAAGTTGGCAACTTCATTACTATAAGTGGCAGTGCAGTCAGGGATTTGTTCTAAACAAAAGAAGTTGTAGTCTTCCCTCAGTTTATATGGAAGATAGAAATTGCAAAGCATATTAAAACAGCACACACACAAAAACAGGTTTTGAGGTTTTGCTTATATGTAAGACAGAGCCTAAGCCTTGGGTTTTAGGCTCAGACATTATAAACAGTGTCATTCGTCATCATATGACTCCCTGGCAGGGTATTCAGTGGTTCTGTGGAACCCGAGACAAGTCTTCATTGTTCAAGATGGCTCCCCCGTGTCAGAGCATCACCCCCCCGTGTCAGAGCATCATTCATCTCCCGCCCTGACTGGGCAGCAGCACTCAGCAGCCACGCAACAATCAAAAATATCCCTATCATTTTGAAAACCTCTTCCAGGAGTTTGGAAAGAAATATCTGCATTAACTGTTATGTCCTCATAGGAATTTCCTAGTGTTAATTTAGGTAAGAATTGCTGCCTTACAATTTATCAGAAGCACTCCAAGATCACTATGACAACAAAAAATCCCTATGTTGAGAATCTCTAAGGAATGATGTGATGCAACATTAAGAAAGAAATATCTATAGATAAAGAAATATCAATCATCACAGAAACGTTTATATTACAAATTTATGCAAAAATTGTGGTTTTCCAGTATAACTCACAACTTGATTATATCAATATCAACAGTATAGATTCTTTTTTTTTTTTTTTTCCAAAAGTTAACTAAAGCCTTTTTCCCTTTTTTAAAAGAGAAATTCCCCCGGAGCTTCAGCGACTGGTTCATGGTGGCCAAGTGAACTTGGATATGGAGGATCATCAGGATCAAGAATACATAAAACCCAGATTGAGGTTCAAGGCTTTTAGTGGAGATGGACAAAAACTTGGAAGGTAGAATCCTAAAATGAGAAAAATACTTGTGTGTGTTCAACATGAATTTCCTTTGGGAATAAAATATATCAAAATAATCTAGAAAGTAAAAACTAAAACTTTGCTGATGGAATTAGATATGCAAAGCTGGTGACAATATTAGTAGCTAATACTTAGATAGCAGTTACCACATTCTTGGCCCTCTAAACACTTTACATACATTAACTCATTTAATCTTCACAACCACTTTTCCCTATGGATCCTGTTATCCCTCCTTTTGCAGATGCAGTATTTTGCCCAAATTGATTGAGGTGGGATGTGATTAGCATGTAGGATTCAAACCAGGAACTCTGGCTCCAGAGTCTGTGCTTTTACCATTAGATCATCTTGTCTCTATCTAATTACATATTGTCAAAGGGAGATATTGGAAGGGGTTGTTGATTAGATAAAACAATAGATATCTTAGATCATAGCTTTAAGCATGCTTAGGTGTCACTGAGCTCTTGCAGCAAAGCAGTGTGCTTAAGTTGGCTTTTCTCAATACATTTTAAACAGCCAAAGTCTTTCTTCAAGTTATGGAAGCCCAATATGTATTTAAAACACATATGAAACCTGAGTTCCTCTGGTTGTAAGAGAAGGAGGAATTATCTCAGACATTGCCCAAGAACCCCTTGGATTCTGCTGAGCATAATTTAGAAACCAATGTGCATGGTTTAGTGTATGAGTGGACTCCTTTATAACAGCCTGGCTTAAAAGACTCTTCATAAATCTTGTAAAATAAGTTAGTACAGGCTATCCTCTATTTGTCCACATTATCACTACAGGTGACCTGTGGAATTGCTGCATCAGTCATGTGTCCCACATACCCTTTTGTGCATGTTTTATTCCTTTTCATATAATTCCTTCCCTTCCAAGTTCTTTTCATTTGCATTGGGCACACTGGTGCTCTATTCCCCTCTCCTCAGAATAGGAAAGAATTCAGTATCGGTTCTTTATCCTTGTCTTTGATATCTCGAGTCTCCACTTCTGTATCCTTTTCTGCTTTTGTTATTGGAGAAAAACGTTCCTCATCTTCCCCCATCACTAGTGGGAGTGGGGTTCTTGAGGTACCGCTGGAATAAGCATTTCCGGAGACTTCCACAGGAGGACGCAATATAGTAGAAAACTTTATTTCTTTGGAATTACACCCCTCAGTTTCCAAAGTCCCATTTCCCTTAGTCCAGTCATAGAAGAAGGGTAGCTGGGGTTTCAGTAAAACTAAAATCAGAGCCAGGGTCCAGAGTTTTTGTTCCATGTTGGAGTCGGGTCCAGTTCAGTATCAAGCTAGTTGCAGTCCATTAGTCCATTGTGTGTAGGGGTCCACATGGGAGAATGCAAGGAAGCCAAGTGTGCCAAGAGCATAAGAGAATGAGCTTCTTTGTTTAGGGGATTATATATCCAAAATTTCCATGCACTTGCAGTGGCCACACTCATTCTGGCCAACCATCTCTGTCACCAGGTGTGATTGACTGGCAAGTACCTTTCCTTTGTCATCCCAGCTTTACTGGGCATGTGTCTATCTTCCCTATGTCCAGTCCTCTCTCCCCAGTGTTTTGCAGGGAACAGGCCTGTAATGTCTGGCCTTCCCTTTGCTCCTTTCCTAGCCTATCTAATAAAGTGGGAATATGCAAATTGACCGTCACTCCACCACAAAGATGGCAGCGCCCAGGCCCCTCAGCTCCACCAGAGGAGCAGAGGCAGGCGGCACAGCTGGACCTGCCCCCAGGAGTCCTCCAGTCCATTCAGTCCCACTGGCACCTAGCCGGCAAGCAGGCCCCGCAGAGAGCAGACAGCAGGGCCTGCTTGCAGGTCGCAGTGGCGACCGGGCGAGCATGCAAGCGGCCCTGCAGAGAGCAGACAGCAGGGCCTGCTTGCAGGTCGCTGCAGCGACCGGGCGAGCAGGCAATTAGGCCCTGCAGAGAGCAGAGAACCATGGGGAGCGGGCCTAAGCCATCAGTAGGACATCCCCTGAGGGCTCCCGGACTGGAGAGGGTGCAGGTTGGGCTGAGGGAACCCACCTCATGCATGAATTTTATGCACTGGGTTTCTAGTCTATATATACAAAAGCCTAAGCAACTGTTACAACCAAACGACCGGAACTACCGAAATGACCGGTCAACCAGTTGCTATGACATGCACTGACCACCAAGGGGCAGACGCTCAACGCAGGAGCTGTCCCCTGGTGGTCAGTGCGCTCCCATAGCCAACCTCCCGAGCTGGCCAGCCAACCTCCCATGGCCCCTGCCCCTCCAGCCAGCCAACCTCCTGCGGCCCCTCCCCCCAGCTGGCCAACCTCTTGTGGCCCCTCCCCCTGGCTGGCTGGCCCCCGATAGGCCTCAATCACCGGCCAGACTGAGGAACCCCACCCATGCACGAATTCGTGCACCGGTCCTCTAGTTATTAATAACTAGCTAATTACAATGCCATCACTTTTAGAGACTGATTTCTGAGACATGTAGGAAATACAAGTACATATGTTAACCTGCCTTTTTTTAAGACCCAAGCACATCCTTCAGTGCCCAGCAACTAGATTTTGTTTGATAAAGTGTTCTAGGACTTAATGGTACAGGCACACCTCATATTATTGCACTTTAGTTTATTGAGCTTCATAGATGCTGCATTTTTTTTATAAACTGAAGGCAAGACCCTTCACCAGCAAAAAGATTACGACTTGCCTTATTGTGATACTCATTTTATTGTGATACTCGCTTTATTGTGGTGGTCTGGAACCAAACCTGAATCTCTGAGATATGCCTGTATAACGTACCTTCGTACCCCAATATTTCCTCCATTTTACAAATGACAGAGCTGGGATTCAAAGAGATTAATTTACTTAAGTTTACACAGTAAACATGGCTGAGATTTGAAACCAAGTCTGTCTGTGCTCTTAGTCATTCTTTGATGTTAACTCAAAGTTGCTCAGATTTCTGACTAAAGACCGTTGTTTGCTAAACAGTTTCATGAAATTTCAAAGGGATAAAGAAGGAAGGAGTACACAAATACGCTTTTCAAAGAGATTGGATAAACTAAATCAAAATCATAGGGTCCAAAATAACTGTAATATAATGAAAGAGCTTGGAAGAAGTATAGGAGACCAGAGGGGCCATGTTCTTGCTAGTCCAGAAGCCAGAGGGGGGCTAGCTGGAGGGTCAGGGATCAGTCTCAGTGGTTATGCCACTGTCTTCAGTTTGTTACATGTCTTATGTGTTTGCATTTGTTTTCTAACTCATTCTTATTTCATAGCCTTACCCCTGAAATTGTCAGTACGCCTTCCTCCCCAGAAGAGGAGGAGAAGTCAATACTTAATGCAGCTGTTTTGATTGATGATTCAGTGCCAACAACAAAAATTCAAATCAGGCTGGCAGATGGGAGTCGTTTGATACAAAGATTCAATAGTACACACAGGTAAGCTTCTAGTTTACTCTCACACATAGGGTTACTGATCTGTGTAAACTGAATGTGACTGGAGTAATGAAGAATATGAAATTCTTTAGATATGCAGTAAGTTTTTGACAAAGGGGGAAAAAACTTTAAAAGGGTAATAGCTATGTGTAAGAAGTGAAATACTTAGTAATTAAACATCCTTTGTAAACTCCAAATATTAATGCAAATCCAGGTACTACTCAAAAAAACAAAATCATTAAAAGCTGCAGTTTTGCACTGTTGCTAAAACCACATAAAGTGGAATCAGATTTAATTTAATATTGAAACCTTATTTGGACTTTACTCATATAAAAATTTATGGTAGTACTGATTGGGTTAACTTTGTAATATAAACTTATACTGTAAAGTTTAATTGTGCTTGTCAAGTACTTCAAATAAACCGTTTCATTTCACCATTCACTTGTAAATTAATACTTGTGCTAATATGATTATTTTTGTTTATTGTATGCCTTTGCAGGGATACATTTATGATCTAAGTTGAGTATTGTGTATATGTGAAAGAAATTCTTTTTTTACTTTAAATCATTTTTTTATTTTTCAATTACAGTTGATATACAGTATCATTAGTTTCAGGTGTACAATCCAGTGATTAGACATTATATCACTTACTAAGTGATCATCCTGATAAATCTCATACCCATTTCTCACCATATATAGTTATAAGAATATTATTGACTATATTCCCTATGCTATACTTTATATCCCCATGACTATTCTGTAACTACCAATTTGTACTTCTTAATCCCTTCACCTTTTTCACTCATTCCCCCTCCCATCTGGCAACCGTCAAAATGTTCACTGCATCTATGAGTCTGTTTCTGTTCTGCTTGTTCATTTGTTTTTTAGGTTCAATTATTGGTGGATATGTATTTATTGCCATGTTATCGTTCATTTTCACCTGAGATGGGCAGTCCAGTTGCATCCCCTATGTGTACACCCTCCTCTTGTAGTTGAGCCTTGATTGCTGTTGGCATCTCAATGGGAGGGATTTACCCCCAGCTGATAAACTGCAGGACTGGCTGGGACCACCATGGAGTGTCAGCTGTGCAGGGACCCACCCACAGAGTAGGACTTACTTCAGTGCAGCTCTGTTGCCTGCTGAGTCTGCCATTTGAGTTTGTCCCTTGTGGAGGTGGTTGGGTGTTACTTCTATGTGATCTAAAGCTGTCCATCAGTTGTGCTGGCTGTGGGACCTCCAGGGAGGTTCAGGCCAAGGTTAGCCACCCCCTGTGTTTGCCTGGGGCCAACTGGAATGAGTTACAAAGCAGTCTGCTGATGGCTGCTACGTGTGCTGGGCTTGGAGGTGCCTAGGAGAGGCCAAGCTGTGGACCAAGGCTGGGTGCCACCAGTGTCCGGCCTGGGGCCACTTAGTGAGAGGTAAAGGGCATGCCAAAACCAGATGCTACTCATTTGAAAGATTTTAGGAATGTGTGAAGCATGAGCCAAGACAGACTGTTTGTCTGGAAAAGCCACTGGAATCACTTGGGTAGGCCTGTAAGTTGGGTGGGCCTGCAAAGTGGGTGGGGCGGGTCTCAGGAAATCACCAGGACAGGACTAGCAGTGTTAGCCAATTTGGTGGAGACTCAGATGTGGCACTCACCTGCCAGTTCTATGGGGGGAGGGCTCAGAAAAGGAGCAATGGCCTCTGCCAGCACTTTTCTCTGGGGAAAAACTACCCCTCAAGCTCTTTTCCTGCTGCCACCCCACCCCATGTCAGACAAGTCAGTTCTTCTCAGTATGTCCCTGGTAGCTTTCAAGCAGCTGCCCCAGTGCTGGAGCTCTGAGGAAGTGCATTCAAGTAAGCCCATGCATGGGCCCTTTAGGAGGAACTGCCTGTGGCCCTTAGTTGGTTAGAGCCTCATCCCCATACACCATGGCACATACAAGAATCAACCAATGAATGCATAAATAAGTGAACAACAAATTGATGTTTCTCTCTCTCCTCCTTCCCTCCCTCTCTCCTTTCCTTCCCTCTCTCTCTCAAATCAATAAATAAAAATTAAAAAGAAGAACTGCCTGGGACTCCAGAAGCCCTCTGTCTCACGCATGCACAATCCCCACTGGTGTCTATATAGCCAAAAGGTATAGGGACTTCTCAGCATTGGAACCCTGGGCTGGAGGGCCTGATTTGGAGCTGGGTCCTCCGCTCCTCAGGGGCTGCCGCAGCCAAGATAGCCCTTCCACTTTTTATTTGCCACATATGAGTGTGGGAGGTAAAGGGCATGCCAAAACCAGCCCATTCTGCGTCTCCACCTCTCCTGCCAGTCTCCATGTGACTTCTTTATATTCTCAGTTGTAGGACTTATGTTCAGCTAGATTTCAGTTGGTTCTGAATTGTGGTGGTTCTGTAGTTGTAATTTTGATGTAGTTGTAGGAGAATGTGAGTATGGCATTTACTGATGCCACCATCTTGACCAGAAGCCCTATGTGAAAGTAATGTTTAAAAACTATTCTTATGACCTACACTTTTCATAGTTTCAGACTCACTTTGACAGAGGCCAATTTGAGGTACCTTTCTTTTTCTGGGTCGAGCGCTGCTAAAATATTGTATACTCTGATAAAAGTAGGGCCTGCACTTTTCATTATAATAACATGGTTGGCATTTATTTTGTGCATAACTCATCTGAAGATTGTCTCTTTTTTACAGTAAAAGTAGCTACTAGGTACACTCCAGAGTTAATCCTCATATTTTGTCTTACAGCTAAAATAAATCCATCCATTGAAATAGTGTAAATTAAAGAAAATTATAACACATTTAAATAAGGATTAGAATTGTGTGATTTTTATTATTATCTAATTTTAGCTAAAAGCTTATATGGTAATAAGACTTCTGTATCACAAATTATTTTTATCTTATTTCTCAGGATCCTGGATGTTCGGGACTTCATTGTACAGTCCCGTCCTGAATTTGCAAATCTTGACTTTATTCTTATAACTTCATTTCCAAGCAAAGAGCTAACCGATGAAAGCCTGACACTACAAGAAGCAGGTATTATTAACACTGTGATTCTCCAGCAACTGAAATAATGCTGCTCCTATTCATGTAGTAACACAAAGGAGAGATGATGTGCCATATTAATAAGGAAAACTTACTTATACAAGTACCAGATTGTTTTTATAATTTATACAGATGCATTTTAGTTTTATTTTTATTTTATCCTCCAGCCTTAGTATAGATGAATTTGGACTAGGAGTAGATCTTGAGATAAATATCTTTGAATTATTATTTGTAGGGCTGGCTTATGTTGATAGCTTTTAAATATCCACAAACCAATTTGTTACATGCCCAGAGTTCATGTAACAACATTTGTTGGCAGAGAAAATTAACACAATTCCATTTTGATAAATTTGGTAAAATTTGCAGTGAAGTTTCTTGATGATGCATTGATCAAGAGCCATTAAGGAATTTTCTGATCAAATGTTTTGAAAATTTATAATATATACTAAAGAGTATCTTTATTCTGATTTTGAAATACTTTGATCATGCAATGATTATTTCTCCTATTAAGATACTATACATCCTTTTTACTTACTGACTTAGCTATATTACTGTTCAACCTTGTATTATGGAACTGTGAACATTATAAACTTGAAACAAACATAAAGGTCAGCTATTCTTGAGATGTGGTAAACAGCACTTTAAAAAAGAGGAATTACAGTCCCTCCCAGAGCTTGTCTTGATCACATTCATTTATTCAGTCAACACATTTTTCTAGAGGGCCCACTATAGACACTAAACTGTTCTAAGTGTCAAAGCCAGAATGTTTTCTACTTCAGAACAAAACAAGTATAGAAATACAGGAATATCAGTTCTGTCGGGCCCAATGGATCTGAAGAAAGACCAGTAGAAAGGTTTGCATTCCTGCTGAAGCCAGGTATTTCCTGAGTGAGGCAGGTACATCAGGAATGATAGAAAAACTTGTTCTTCCCAGACACCACTTCATCTTAGGTCACCCACTCCTGGTTAGTTTTCTATTGCTGCTAGAACAAGTTACTATAAACTTAGTGGCTCATAACAGCGGAGATTTATTATCCTCTAATTCTGTAGGTTAAACTGTCACTGGGCTAAAGTCAGGTGCTGACGGGACTGCATTCTTTCGGGAGACTCTGGGAGAAGCATTTCCTGGCCTTTTCAACTTCTGGAGGCCACTTGCATTGGTAGGCCTGTGGCCCTCTGTTCCCATCTTCAAAGCCAGCAACATTGTATCTTTCTGACGGTTCTATCATCATATTTCTGTGACAACAACCAGGAAAGGTTCTCTGCTTTTAAGGACTCATGTGATTACATTGGGCCCACAGGGTAATCCAGGATTATCTCCTCATCTTAAGGTCTATAGTAACCTTAACCACATCTTTGAAGTCCCTTTTACCTTGTAAAGTAGCATCTCAGATTCCTTCTGGAGGCTCCAGGGTGAATCTGTTCTTTGCCTCTTCTAACTTGTAGAGGCTGCTGGCATCCCCTCACTTATGGCTGTATCCCTCCAGTCTCTGCTTCTGTTCTTACCTCTTTTAGTCCCAACTTTAATTCTGCTTTTCTCTTACAAGGATCCTTGTTATTATATTTTGTTTTCCTAGATAATCCAGGATAATCTCTCAAAATGCTTACTATAATTACATCTGCAAAATGCACACATTTGAGCATTAGAACATGAGCATTTTGTGGGGCCATTCTACCTACCACAGTTTACTCCCACCTCAAAAGTTCACATCCATCCCAAATAAAGTTACCCCATCCAGAGGTGCTCAAAAGTCTCAGACTATTACAGCATCAACTTCAAATGCAATATCTTATCTGAATTTCACCCTCTCAAAAATTCCAAATCTCATTTTAATCATCTAAGATAGGTATGAGTAAGGATTTGGGTGTGATTCCTGAAAGATACTTTTTCTCCGTCTGTGAACCTAGAACCAGTTATCTTCTCCCAAATATGAAGGTAGGACAGGCATAGCATAACAGTTATGGACATTCCTGTTCGAAGAATCAGAAAATGGAATGAAAAAAGGAGCTACCAGTGCCAGGCAATTTAGAAAATGAGCCAGGCACACTCCGTTCGGTTTCAAAGCCCAGGCATAGTCTTCTGTGGCTGGCAGCACCATTCTCTAGGCTTGTGGATGTCCTGGAGCAGTGGTCGCAAACTGCGGCTCGCGAGCCACATGCGGCTCTTTGCCCCCTTGAGTGTGGCCACGAAGTTTCAATCGCACTGTACGTGCGCGCCCGCACGTGGTATTTTGTGGAAGAGCCACACTCAAGGGGCCACAGTTTGCCGACCACTGTTAGAGGACATCCTTTCAGAGTCGTAACTTTTTCATGAAAGGCAGCACCTGTGTGCAGCTGAGTAGTTTTGTCAACTTATTTCTTACCTGTGGAATTCTGGGAGGTCTGATCATCTCTCATTTCACACACTCTCTATACCTTTCCATTTAAGATGGCCATGTCTGCTGGTATAACATTCTCAAAAAACATGTGGATCTTCTGTTTATGTTACGGGGATTCACTGTAGACCAGAGGCTCCTCCACATATTTTTCCTGGATAATCCCAACTCTTTCTGACTTTTTCTGAGACGGCTGGAGGGTCTGTAAGTCATACCCCTAATCTCTTCAAAGAATCTTTTGTGTGACTAAATACTCAGGCCTTTTTTATCTTTCTTGAGTATTAGCAAAAGTTGTACAACTATCCCCTTATCTCTTTCCCTAGAGCAGGCTTTCCTGAATCTCTTCATTTAAAAAAAAAATGTTTTTATTGATTTTAGAGGTAATGGAAGGGAAAGGGATAGAGAGATAGAAACATCAATGAGAAAGAAGCATAGATTGGCTGCCTCCTACATGCTCCCTACTAGGGATCGAACCCACAACCCTGGCATGTGCCCTGACCGGGAATGGAACCAATGTCCTCTTGGTGCATGGGTCAGCACTTAACCAATAAGCCACACCAGCCAGGCCTGAATCTCTTCATTTTAATGTCTTTTCCATCTGAGTAGGCTGAGAATTTCCAAGTTATCAAGTCCTATTTTCTTTATATTTATTTAACAGTTGTTCTCTCAATTTATCTGTCTCCTCCCACATCTATATATATATAAAAGTCTAAGCGACGGTTATGACCGAGCGACCAGAACGAACAGTCAACCAGTCGCTCTGATGCACACTGACTACCAGTGGGCAGATGCTTAACGCAGGAGCTGCCCCCTGGTGGTCAGTGTGCTCCCACAGCCAACCTCCCACGGTCCCTCACCCCTGCTGGCCACCTCCCCTGCCCCCCCATTAGGCCCCGATCAGGGGGCTGGCCAGGCAACCTCGCAGGGTCCCTTCCCCCAGCTGGCTGGCCCCCCCCATAGGCCTCGATTGCAGGCCAGGCTGAGAGACCCCACTCATGCACGAATTTGTGCATCGGGCCTCTAGTTTTATTATAGTTCGCAAGAAGAAAGTAGGCTGCACCCTCCACGCTTTGCTTAGAAATCTCTTTAGCTAAATATATTAAGTCTATCACTTAAAAGTTCTGCTTTCCACATTACCGCAGGACACACTTCAGCTAAGATTTTGCTAGTATATAACTCTAGTCTCTTTTTCTTTAGTTTCCAACAGCATGGTCCTCATTTCCTTCTGAGCCCTCACTGGCAGCACCTTTAATGTCCTTATTTCTCACGACAATTTAGATATTCTCCATGACAGTTTACCCATTCTCTACCATGCTGCTTACCTCCTTTGAGCCCTCACTAGCATTCATCCATATATCTACTAACAGTGTTCAAGGAAATCTTGACTTTTTCTGTCATACTCCTAATACTTCTCTCATCCTCTAGTCCAGCCGTGGGCAAACTACAGCCCACGGGCCAGATCCGGCCCGTTTGAAATGAATAAAACTAAAAAAAAAAAAAGACCGTACCCTTTTATGTAATGATGTTTACTTTGAATTTATATTAGTTCACACAAACACTCCATCCATGCTTTTGTTCCGGCCCTCCGGTCCAGTTTAAGAACCCATTGTGGCCCTCAAGTCAAAAAGTTTGTCCACTTCTGCTCTAGTCACTGCCCAATTTCAAAGCCGTTCTGTACTTTCAGGTGTTTGCTGTGGCAGCACCCCACTTTCAGGGATCTAGAAATGTGTTCTGTGCCAACTCGCTGCCAGTTGACTTGATGTGCCAATAGGAGATTTGGAATTCACTTTTCTCAGGGGGCTCTGGATATTTATTTTTAATATGTTTTTATTGATTCTTAGAGAAAAAGGGAGAGAGAGAGAGAAACATCAAGGAGAGAGAAATATCATTGATCAACTGCCTCCTGCACGCCCCTACAGGGGATTGCCCGCAACCTGAGCATGTGCCCTGACCAGAAAGCGAATGTGAACTCCTGGTTCATAGGTCACGCTCAACCACTTGGCCATACCGGCCAGGTGGGGGCTCTGGTTACTTTAAGGCAGTGAATTTGCCTGTATTAGGGGTTCTAATACTGAGAGTGCTACCAGAAATTCCACAGATAGAAGTGTTGATCCCACCACCACAAAGAAAACTTTTTCTGAGTGTCATACATAGAGTAAGAAGATTATTCCTGTCTTCCCCTCAGAATAGGAAGCCCTGTTTCTTTCCACTCATTGAAAACAACTTGGAGAATATATAAATAATAGTTCAAAGAAGCACTCTTAGTTCAAAGAAACACCCTTAGTTCAAAAAGATGTCCAGGGATACACTACACTGTCTCAGGAGCATAATCGATGAAACAAATGAGCATTTTAAATAAAAGGGCATTTTCCTGTTTTGGATTACCAAAACCAGGGGGAAATTAACCAGACCCTGTAATATTTGAAATTTTATTCTTGCAATTTCTTTTCTTTTATTAATATATTTTGATTTTTTTTTTTTTTAACAGAGAGGAAGGGAGAGGGATAGAGAGTTAGAAACATCGATGAGAGAGAAACATCCATCAGCTGCCTCCTGCACACCCCCTACTGGGAATGTGCCCGCAACCAAGGTATATGCCCTTGACCAGAATCGAAACTGGGGAACCTTCAGTCCCCAGGCCGTTGCTCTATCCACTGAGCCAAACCGGTTAGGGCCTTGCAATTTCTTTTTATCAGTTATGTAGAGTGCCTAGCACATATAAAACAGCTGCCAGTTTTGTATATAATAGTCTTCAAAAATATACAGATTTTCATTAGGAGAGAAAATTAAACATCTAGAAGGGATGAACAAGACTTTTCCATGAACTACATAGTATTTTGCTTCATTTAGAGTCATTTTCCTGATTTTTTTAACTTACTACAGTCACTGTAACTTTAAAAATCTATAATCATCTCAAAGGAGAATATGTCACAATTAGACAACCGTGTGTGAAGTCAGTTGTTTTGCATGATGTGTGTAATAAAAAAGTTTTTAAGTGTTTGCTTACAAATAAAGAATGTTCTCACTGAAACTCATTGAAAATCCTTTTCAAATTTGTCTTGATTTGTAGTTTTATTGAGTGGCTTAATAGAGTCTTTTAAGCATGAGTGACATTTCCTATGGTACAGCTTTTAATGGGCAGAGAAGAACCTGAATTGGAGCAATGTTATCTTAATTTCCCATTACTGTTTCTATTTTTATCCCACAAAAATAAAGGTGCAAATTT